GCTGGTCGATTAGGGTGTCAAGCTCGACATCAGGCAGGACTGGTAACGATCTTCGAAGATGTTCGATCAAATCGCTTCCAATGACCAGGGGCGCAATGTCAGGATCAGGCATGTATCGGTAGTCGACCTCGCCTTCTTTGCCTCGCAACCGGCGCGTTTCTTTCGATCCCAACGACCATCCTCGCGTCTCGCCAGCAATCGTTCCGCCGGCTTCTAGTTCTCGAATCTGACGATCCCTTTCAGCAATAATGGCGTCCTCGACAGCCTTAATAGTGTTGAGATTTTTTATCTCCGTCCTCGTTCCCAGGGCTCGCGATGGGTCGTCCGTTTTCCGAACAGACACATTCACATCCGCTCTCAGCCCACCTGCTTCCATACCAGAAACGCATGTGTCAGCAGTATTCAAAAGAAGTTGGACCTTGCGCACAAACGCAGCAGCCGTACGCGGATGATGTATATCTGGCTCTGTAATGATCTCCATGAGAGGCACCCCGGCTCGATTCAGGTCTAGCCAACGCACATCTCCAGGTTGCGCCAAGGTCTTCGCAGTGTCTTGTTCAAGCTGCACTTGTTTAATTCTCACAGTGACACTGTCACCATCCTCGGTGGCAATACCATCTCGAGCCATTAAAGTAATGTGACCATTCTTGGCAAACGGTTCATAATACTGCGTGATTTGATATCCGGAAGGCTGATCCCACCAAAAGTAATGCTTTCTGTCAAAGTGGCTAACGGGATTGATCTCGCAGTTGAGGGCCAGCGCAGCTCGTATCGCCGGTATCAGGGTCTCTTTCTGAAAGAGCGGTTGGCTGCCCGGCATTGACACGTCAAACAATGCCACATGACTGTTTGGTTCGTCATTAAACGACGTGGTCGCAGGAGAGAAGAGCTTGCGGCTTGTATTAAGCTGTGCATGGATTTCAATGCCGACGGTTAGCTCCCACCCGTCCACAGTCTGAGAGTCGCGATTTGACTTCTTTGTCGCTTGTTTCTTGGCCAATTTCGCCTCTTCCTTCAACTGTTTTCGCAGAGGTACTATGGATTCTTTCGTCTTTGCAGCAAGTGCAGTCGAGAATTGATGACGATGACGATGATGCAGTGGGCGTTGCCGGTTGAACGCCTGCGGAGTCGCGCCGTTGCGTCCAAGACCATGGCGACTGGCCAAGCAGCCTCGACGGGGGAGTAAACCCTCGAGGAGATATTTGCCTGCTTCTCCAATTCGAGCTCGACTCATTGCTTCGTTTGAGGTGGAATAAAACGTCCTCTGATTCTGTGTCGACTGCAGTCAGAGTTTGCGCTGTGCAACGTCTGAAGAAGCTCGCTATTCAGTAATGCCGGTCCCGTCATTTGGCGTTTCTGGTGCAACTACAGGACTCCTGCATGAAGCAGCGCATCATCGAAGGGCCGAGAAGGTCTGTCAAGGCCGCAGGAATGCAGAAATATTGGCAGAAATTTGGAATACAGAAATGCAGTTGCAAAAACTGCTGGTGCTTTCCGCTTTGACCCAAAGCAAGTTACTTGGGTACTCGAGCCGCAAACCATCAATGGGACGTTGGACGGTGACGGAGGGAGGAACAATCGACTCGGAGGTCTTGCCTTCTTGCCTTCTTGCAGCTGCTGCAGTGCACAGTCTGTCTTTGCGACGCGTGGCTGCAGCTGCTCCTCGGATTGGACACAAAGATTTGGGAATACCTATTATTGTGGGTCAAGACCAATAATCGCCGCTCAACGCTGATCCCAAAGTCATCCTTGATACCACATCCCTTCTCCAATCTCGCGCATCACACGCAAATTCATTCTTTCTGCCGTTCGGTTGGGCTACACGATGGAATTGCTTTACGTCCAAACCGAAAATCCACTGCCCGTCCAAGACTCTGGACAGCAACATGATGCAAGTGCAAGCACGCAGCTTGGCCAACGAAACTCACCAGACAACTCGTCCCCCACCTAAAGCTTCGCTACACGTTGTCCTGCTCCAGCAGCATATAATCATTTATGAGCACTATGAGTAAAAGCGCGCGTTGGGCATCGTTGGGTATGCCCCGAAAGATGTTGATCACAGGCTCCGTCATGCACCAGAGAGAACAGTAGGCTCCATTACTATCGGGTTGTTGGGTCGTTGGGTCGGTCGGCTTGTTCATTGAGTCCAGCCCAAGGATGCCATGATTTGGACACGATACTTGGGTCCTTGACGAACAGCAACAACACCGGGTGAACCAAGAAAACCAAACATATCAAGCGGTCCGAGCGAAGCCAGCCCATTGTTCCATCGCATCCGTTCGTGTGACTTTGCGACAAAGAGGGTGTGTCTGCGGCTGCGTCTTCTTCTGCGGCCGCCGCTGCGTAGAAAGACATATCAATGCGTCTCCCAGCCGCCAACACGTGTCATTGCCTCATTATGCGTTACTTTGTGGCCGACATATAGCCTTCTTCGCCCGCGTAGTAGGCTTCTGCCACTCCTTGAAGGGGGGGTGGGATTCAGGATGTCAAGGTGTCATGGCACATGTTCATGAGCATGTACTCCGTTTCGCTGAACAGATATGTAGGTCTTAGTGGTTCGACATCGAATTTTCTCCCAGATGTTTCTGTTCTGTACACGCAAGTGTCTCTCCTAAGTGTATGTCTCCTGGCCTGTTAACTACTAGCGCTGTGATTCTCAGTATTTAAGAGCTCAGCCCGGCTACTGTATTTCAGCTGGTTGATGGCGCTTTGCTTCCCTGTCATTGTCGTTGCCATCGTTGATGCTCCTCCAACCCCCTTGCTTCTCCTCTTTTTGCCACAACACAGCTCTTCTAAGTTACCATACGTATATTGCACAAACTTCGAACGCAGCCTAGCCTTCATAACACCATCGGCAAGATGAGTGCAGAAAGGGATGATGGTCAGACCGGAGAAACGTCGACCGCATTTCCCGACATCGAGCATGGCGAGCACGACGAAGGGGCCTCTCTGACACCAGAAAATGATGTGGAGGTCCTATCAACCCCGCGAGATGACACCAAAGCAGACGAGCCTCGACAGTCTATCAAACATGCCACGGCCTCTTGCACCAGTATTCAGATACCACCACCTCTTTTGGAAATTCTATCTCGTCGTCCCTCACCTCATGTGCCTGGCGAGAACCACATTACAGCGGTAGTAGGAGACTGGGAAGAAGACAACTCCCACGATGATTCCGAATACACCTCAGTATTGTCGTCCTATGTTACCGCACCCTTCCTAGTTGAGGCTTCACTCGACCCAGGTGTACAGAAAAACACCGTCAAAACTGCAAAATCAGAGGCAAACATGCAAGACCATGGAGATGAGTCTTATCAACGGCAAATCGAGTCCTTAGAGATACCTATTCAATCAAGTGCCCAACAGAACACATCGAGACGTCGACCTAGTGTTATGGACTATCTGGTCTCACATGGACCTGTCAAGTATCCAGTGCCAACCTCGCGAGCAAGCAGCTCTACATCTCGGAGGGTATCTTCTGAGGGGCAACACTGGCAAAACAATGATCGTTTGCCGACTACCTGGGAACAAGGTCACGTCCTTCCTGGCTATGCAGTGGAAGATAGGAAACGACAGATGGGATGGAATGCTCAACAACACTCTCCTCGGTCAGTGGACAAATTTTTGAACAATCACGACGAACATGGCTTCGAGATGTCACATAAGAGGGGCTTCAGTCATACCTGGGAACAGAATGGCCCGTCTGCACCCTCCTCAAACATCGGCGTATCAAATAATTATAATCGATCGGATATATACACAGGTCAAGATTATCCTGATACTGCTAGCCGCCTGGACAACATGGCGCCTAGCGGCTATCATGTCTTGGCTACGAAACTGTCGAGCGATTCCTGTGGCCAACCGATCTCACCGATATATCGTCGATTTGATGTTCTAAATCATCGTCTCTTATTGTATATGCAGGATGAAATCACTGATTTGGAACGTCAGCTTACGTCGTTGGAGTCCAAGGATACAGTCAAGAGAAGTTACCCAGGCGGCGTCCTGCCCGCATCCCAGCGTCAAGATCGCCGAATCGATAGCAGCTTGGCGCACCAAAAGACTGAGGTTCTCGGCCTTATTGGCTACAAATTGAGTCAATACAGTAAGCAGCGTCTTTATATTCCACCAAATCTATCGTTTTCGTATGAATATGACAGCTGACAATTCGACAGACCATGTCCTTGCGTCGTATTGCAAACTACAAGACATTCCAGCACCAACGTGGCGGGATATCCACATGTACAAAAACTACCTCGCAACTAGCAAGCTGATTGCAGACGATGAAACACGCTTTCTCGATGCTTCAAACGACCTTATCTCGCTAAACACGCAAAACCTAGCCATGGACGATGTCAACACCACCGCCGATGGGCCGACGCCAATGCCTGAGGAAGCCAGAGAAGTAGAACAGTTTCAGAGCTTTTTCAGGGATAACGGTAGCTCGCCACCTGCACGATTAGGTCAAGGTGCAGCACGCAAGTCTGACGATGCGCTGTTGGTGCGACTTGCTCTTTCTGGAACATCTGTCGTACTTGTGCCTATCATGATCTTCTCGATCATACCTAGCTTCGCAGGACGCATGGCCATCGTTCTTCTCGTTGTACTCGGTGTCAGCATCATGGCCGACCAATCCGGCTTGCTGCAAGAGGTTGAACGACACAGACGAGAGTACATAGTGTATCTTGGATTATATTGTGGTGCTATGGCTGTGTTGGCTGGGACAGTGAATTGATTGTTCGTCTTTGCTGGTACTCGTCTGGATTTTTTGTCCTTTCTGCTTTCTATCACGGAATTGAAGCCAAAGGGTTTGGAACAAGTAGCAATGGAGTTTTGATGTATCATCGCGTATCCGAAATGCATAAATCCTTGTAGACAAATCTAGAAAACTCCTCTGTCCTGTATGCCGCTCTTTCGTCGCTGCGGATCCACGTCGTTACGCGAGCCCTTGAGCATCACTTCAAGTATTTAAATAGTGGACGCTTGCTTCACAGCTCTTAGGGCGAATGGTTTAGTGGTATAATACTCCCTTAGCAAGAACTACTTCATCTGGGAGTGGTCCAGGGTTCGATTCCCTGTTCGTCCAATTGAGTGGTATAAATCCGGGAGTGGTATCCTTTTTTTTGCCGTTGTCGGACGGCATTTTTTCTTTTCGAGAAGGCTGCGCTTCTTGGGGCACTTTGCCTTCCGAGACATGCATCTGATTGGGCGAATGGTTTAGTGGTATAATACTCCCTTAGCATGTTCGTACATCTGTGAGTGGTCCAGGGTTCGATTCCCTGTTCGTCCAACACTTCGTGGGGATGACCGTCGAAGGCGGTGCACGTTTTCTTTTTGTGGTGTTCGCACTATTTTGGTTTTGTTCAATTTTTAGCTCAAACTCCATCGAGCTTAAGACGTCAGCGAGATGTGAATGGGAGTTGTTGCTGAAGTCGTCTGCCAATGAATGTTTATAGAATCTCGAGGGGGTGTCACAATATCTAGTCTTGCGACTGTATTGAGCGAAGAGGATTTTTTGGCATAAAATAAACCCTTGATATTGAAAAACAGTCTGATCTTGGATGTCGGCTTGTGGTAATAATTCCGTTGTGGTTGCCCCACCTGCACGTTGCATGACTGGCGGGGCACAGAAATTCTGAGGAGAACTGACAGACGTGAGCTGTGACTCAACGGTAATCCCATCTCACCTCGAGAATAAAGGACCATCACCGACAGCTATTCGCCCGCTGGCACGTCACAGTTCCCTCGTGAATCGAGACATACGAGTTCGATCCACCATGGCGTCACAGACTAGCAGCACCGCAGGAGATCTTGCCCACCAGATCCTCCATGCGCTGGACAAGAAGTCACCCCTCCTTTCCTCGGAAGCCTTCCCCACGACGCCTTCAACCGAGGTGAAGGGCGCTCTTGACAGACTCGCTTCGCGTGACATGGTCAAATATGAGACCATTGATCGTGAGGAAGCTCTTCTGGAACCCGAAGGCGAGCAGATCGCCGCCAATGGCAGCCACGAGGTCCGCGTTTTTGAGGCGCTGCGTGTTGCAGTGGAGGGTTTAACCATTCAAGAACTTGAGAAGGCTATTGGGGACAAGAATGTTGTCAAGATTGGTCAAGGCAGAGCTTTCAGGGAGAAATGGATCTCTAAAACCCAAGGTAAGGGTTTCCTATTCTCATTTACTTGTGGTGTTTTTCATGCTACAACATGGTTGCGGCGAAACTTTTGTGAACTGACGGGTTTGATGCATGTCGCAGATGGCAAATTGAAGACGGCCGTGAGTAGAATCCACATAACTGGGTGAGCGATGGGTGTGATATCGGAGGATGAGGAATGGCTGACGTGGAAGTCTTGTCAATAGAAAGAATCTGTGCAAGACACGACCAAAGAGCAGATGCAGACCATTCGATCGACGCGAACGTATCCGGATGCCAAGACGCTGGCCGATTTGAAGAAGCGCAAGCTTGTGCGGACACAGAAGATTATCAGCTTCAAGATTGAAAAGGCCGAAAAATTCGCTCTCAAGATCCCCGAGGTCGCCACCGACTTGACCGCCGATATGATTGCTAGCGGCTCATGGAAGACTGCTAATTTCAAGGGATACAACTTCAAGGCCTTGGGTGCCGACCAACAGTCTGGAGCTTTGCATCCTCTGAGCAAGGTTCGATCCGAGCTGAGGCAGATCTTCTTCGAAATGGGGTTCCAGGAGATGCCTACAGACAAGTAGGTCATGACTAGATATATTGGTTTTGGCTTCGTCGGGCGGTCGCTAACGTGGTCTCAGGTTCGTCGAATCTGGCTTCTGGAACTTTGATACGCTTTTTGTTCCGCAACAACATCCCGCCCGTGATATGCAAGACACTGTACGTGTTCCTAGGATGTTGATCGAGGCTCGTCGCGATTTTCAATGAGGCTGGCTAATAGTGTTTGTAGTTCTATGTCGCTGATCCCATGGTGGCAGACCTGCCCAGAGCGGAAGATGCCAACGATAAAGGTGACTACAAGGCTTACTGGGATAACGTGAAGGAGGTCCATGAGGTATGATATGAAACAGAAACATGAAACCAGCACCGGACCTGGCAAACGTTCTAATTCTTGACTTTAGAATGGCAAATACGGGTCGATAGGTTACCGATACCCTTGGTCTGGAGAGGAGACTCGAAAGCTGGTACTTCGAACGCACACCACAGCCATCAGTGCGAATATGCTGTACAAATTGGCTCAACAAAAGGGCCCTGATGGTCGCCCACCTCCAGCTCGCTATTTCTCCATCGATCGTGTGTTCCGCAACGAGACAGTCGACGCCACTCACTTGGCAGAGTTCCATCAGGTTGAGGGTGTCATTGCTGACTATGACCTGACCTTGGGTGGCCTCATGGAAGTAAGTCACCAGTGGAAAGCTGTCCTGCCCTCAGCCTAAGATCACGAGAACAAGGTTACTAATCTTGATAGTTTATGGATATCTTCTTCGGCAAGATGGGCATCACCGATCTCAAATACAAGTGTGCCTACAACCCTTGTGAGTGACCTAGATTGTACTTTCTTTTTTTCTTCCGCGATGACGTTGACTAAAATCGGCAATTACTAGACACCGAACCTAGCATGGAAATTTTTTCGTATCGTAAGTTCTTCATCTTTGCGGTATTCTGAAGAGCAGCGAGAGTGGAAGCCATGGCTAAAACCATAATAGACAAGGGCCTTGGAAAGCTAGTTGAGATTGGTAACAGCGGCATGTTCCGAGCCGAAATGCTGGAATCCATGGGTCTTCCGTAAGTGACGACAAGTCTTTGTTTTTCTATTGTCCAGGGAAGAAGACGAAGCTGATTTGTCCATGTAGCAAGGATATGCGAGTGTTTGGCTGGGGTCTGTCTCTTGAACGACCCACCATGATCAAGTATGGTATTTCCAACATTCGCGAGTTGTTGGGTCACAAGGTCGATCTGAACTTCATGCGCAACAGCCCCGCAGTGCGTCTGGATAAGGAATGATCAAGGCGATAGGGAATGAAAAAAAAATTTGAAAAAGAATCAAGACATCCAGCACGACATGATGGGAAAAGGAGAAAGTCGGTATAGATATACGACATGTCGAGACGGTGGTTGAATATCATCATGACTGATAGAGGCGACATATTGATGTTTTGATGCCACACCTCAAGTCTTTCCTGTGACACTTCACCGTTTATGTGTCCATGCAAGGTTAAAGATTTCAGCCTTCAGGGTGCAATCACTTGTTGGCACATGTTAATGTTGACATCCGTTCGAGAACGAGGCACACGTTGAATAGCATCACATGCGGAAGCAAAACTACATGTCATGCTGCTATTCCACGTGGTTGTCATGGTCATCACCAATTCAGAAAACAAGGCTAAGCATCACCACCACCCCGCAAGTCGGCCAAAAACGACCAACCCCATTCGGGGAAAAGAATCCCCTCAGAAAAAGACCCTCCTTGACCGGATCTCGATTAGCACCAGTGCATCATTCCGCGGTCCTCGCACGGCAACCCGCTGCCCGAATACTTCCCCTGCTCCCCACCTCCACGAATAGGAAGACGCTGCCCCACCATCAACCTCGATTTTGGATGTCGTTGTCATGACATCATCATCATCATGATCGTGTACTTGCACTTTTTAGTTTCCCGTTTTTTCTCCTCAGCAACGAACAGCCCACGGACCACAATAAAACCTAAAATTCCTCCATTATAAAGGAGTCAAGCCTGCCGCTGCTGATTTTTTTTTTGTGTTTGTGTTTCCTTTCCATTGTCCAACCCGATTCATCATCACACTACAACAAGTGATTCTTCATCGTCATCACCACACCACGAAAAGTCTTTCGATTTTTGTGATTGAAAAAAGAAGAAAAAAAGAAATACACCTGTTCAAAGTTATAGACATGTCTTTCCTTACAGAGCGGGTTCTCCGAGCTGCCTTGCCCTTGGGCAGAGGTTTGGCTGTCCAGGCACCCCGCGCATTCAGCACGTCGCCTGCATTGAGGAAGACGCCCACGGAGACTGTCAAGGATGGGCTGAAGTCTGTGGATCGGGCTGTGACGGATAATGTTGTTCTTCCTGGTCTTGATGCGGCTGGTGGGTATTCTCATTCTTTTTCCTTTGTTTGTGTTTATATATATATATATTTATACATTTCGACATTGGCATTCTGATATGCGTGTTACTGACTTTTTTTTTTTTCCTCGAAATAGTCTCAGCGGGCACTAAAGTCAAAGAAACTGCCGAGAGCGTCACGAAAGGAAATAAAGGCAAGGTCGAGGAACTAAAAGGCGAGGCACAAGGCAAGGTTGAGGAACTTAAAGGCCAGGCACAGGGCAAGGCGGCGGAGGTCAAGGGCGCGGTCAAGGGCGCTGCTGCCGAGACGCGGGGCAAGGCCAAGGGTGCGGCGGAGGAGATGAAGAAGAACTTGTGAGGATTTTGCGGATGCGGAGGACATTGAGATGTTGTAGGAATCAGGGAGCTTGTTTCTGGACGGCGTTTTGGTCGATTTGTATGGCGAAAGTACATTTCATAGCATGAAGCATTTAGATTTCGGGATCTGATGGTTGTAGCCGATATCTTTTATGTTCTTACTTGTGACTGTTGTATTCGAAACACATATTACGGCATCTATGGGATGATGGAACTGGTTTCGGGTGTGGAGATGGCATGTCTTGACGTCACATGTCCTTCTTCGTGTTCACTTCCAAGTTCCAACACTGAGAAATTAGTGATGGAGATGTATTTTTGGCACCACTCCGCGATTTCAAAACACGTACACTTTATGATTCCTTTTCAGGTGACTGTTTGGTCGCCTGGACGATCCATTTCATAATGATGGCATCACTAACTACAGGCAAGGGTGGGAGAGCCGCAGAAGTTTTCGAGAATGACAATCGTTTGAGGCCCTCACTGCACTGGTCTTGGATGGATTGAGGAAGATTTGACAAGTAGCCCTTCTTGTTTTTTTTTTAACCCCCCCCCCCCCAAAAAAATCTGCATATACTTGTCAATGCATAATGAATGCGTTGCTGCGGATTGTTTTTCATTGTTTTCCCCCCCAGCATAGGGTAAGTTGGCATTTCGCCCCACCAATTCGC